ATAAGCCACAATGTAGAACAGAAAGCAGATGTTAGGAGAGCTTTGAACATCTCCGTGAACGGTGCTGTTAGGAGAGCGTTGAACATCCCATGAACAACACTGTTAGGAGAACGTGCAGCCTGGTCGTTCAGTATGCTCAAACACCACATGTGGCATGCTTAACCCGGGGACTTAATGACACTTGAATGTCCAAACATTCAGATCTGATAGGAAAGAACTTACTGACTCCCAACGACCTGAAAGTACTAGTATAAAAAGCTATGATTTGTTCAGATCTGAAACCTACATCTATGGACAGCACAAAACGTCCACTAGACTGTGCGACACAGTGGTTGCAAGGATCAGGTTGGGTTACCGTTACCTGTGGCAGGTGGCTGCAGGTGACGGGTCTCCCAATCCTGAGCACTCCAGTTGCAAACTCTGTGAGCAGGAACTGCGGCATGATCTCCCACACTACATCACTGAATGCCCAGTTATTAGACCTTTCAGACCAGTTGGCATGAGGTACCTGGAGCTTTGCAATTACTTTATTCACTCTCGTATTCTTGAAGATATCCTCACAGTATACCCAAAATTTGCCAGTGCCGGCTATTAAACACATGGCTCCGTATGACTAACCATCCTGCGAGATGGGGACTTTTATTACCACTGCTACCTTATTCACTCTTGTGTTGATGATATCCTCAAAATGCATCCGGAGTCTGCCAGTGTAGACTACCTATCACATGCCTCTGTATGACTAACCATCCTGTGTGGTGGAAATCTCTTTCATCACGGAGCTAGTTTTTTGACATACTGTTCTCCCCTTCATATAGTCTAGGGCAGCTGCACTAATGCAGATGTACCTAATGTATTAATAAAAAAAATGTAAATGATTGGTCTTGGAGGAGTAAAGCGAAGTCTAAACCCGGGCCTCGTGAGTGTCAGAAAATAGTCGTCTCTTCGTGCGTCAAGTAACGCATAACGCATAATGATTGTATGCGTACATATCTGATTTTTACTCATCAGTTGCCCCTGGCTGTACCACGTTGGACTTTGATTGTAACTCATCAGTTGCCCCTGGCTGTACTACGTTGGACTTTGATTGTAACTCATCAGTTGCCCCTGGCTGTACTACGTTGGACTTTGATTGTAACTCATCAGTTGCCCCTGGCTGTACCACGTTGGACTTTGATTGTAACTCATCAGTTGCCCCTGGCTGTACTACGTTGGACTTTGATTGTAACTCATCAGTTGCCCCTGGCTGTACCACGTTGGACTTTGATTGTAACTCATCAGTTGCCCCTGGCTGTACCACGTTGGACTTTGATTGTAACTCATCAGTTGCCCCTGGCTGTACTACGTTGGACTTGCATCTTCGTCTGACGATGAATAGTACAACAGCAACATTACATGCACCATCACATTTCATATAACTATTATGATACTGTTTAAGACAAAAATGCTGATCACCACAGAGAAAATAACAGTGACCAAAATTGTAGTGATGACAACATTACAGAGAATCAACAACGACGCTGAAACCAACAAATCATCAACACACTCGAAATTAAATGAAAGTGATCACCACTGTGACATGTCAATGATGAATATGACGTTACAGAGACGATGATTGTGAAGATGCTGCCCCCAAACTCCTTCCCCCCAGAGCGACGTACACTGAGGGCCATGTTTAGTGGTGTTCACAGTGTTACTGCTGCTGGAGGAGGCGTCCCAAGGGGCTATATACCCCTGGAGAGCAACTCACTAGAAAGCAAGAGCAACTTGAGAGATAGGGAAGAAAGGAGGATGGGTGAGGCTAGAGAGCGGATTTGGGGAGGGGGATAGGTAGGGGGGAGATTGGGGAAAAGGAAAGGGTTGTGGGGAAAGGTAAGGCGATACATTTGTTTTGTATAGTTGGGTCACATGCGTTTTTTAACTTGAGATATTAATTTTTTTCACAATTACATAAATAACGGAGATATTTAACAATATCTTCAAGCTCGTTCGCTCCTTTTTGGCCCGTTTAAAAGCAATTCTCGTGTCTTAATACATCAACTGGCTCTGCAATAAATGACGTTGATAGTTGATAATAAGAGGAAGACCGTGTAGAGAGACCGAGTGACCAATTTTGGTGAGTTTCTCAGACAAGCACCTGAGGTCTTGACTGCAACTCTCCATAGCTTAGGTTAGCTGCTCTAACAGTGCTCGCGTCTGTGAAAGATTATGAGCTCAGAGATGTAATTTCATATATTTCGTATGTTTATTGTTGTTGTATAGTGAAGCTAACGATAACACGTTATCTAACCCAACTTAAACTTGATTTATTCTTCTGATCAAATATTAAAATATGAACTGGTTGTCGAATTGTTAAGATGATTAGCTTGTTACACGCAGAAATCACAATTGCGTGATGCATCAAATGAACAAATCCACAAGGGCCGTGACGAGGATTCGAACCTCAGTCGATTACGGCAGCGTCTGGGATGCTCTCGGACGCAGGTTCGAATCCTTGTCACGGCCCTTGTGGATTTATTCATGATCAGCTTGTCGTTACTCATAACTTTTACTCCGTTACTTATACTGTTTTGACTTGTAACAGAACTTGTGACGCTGTTCGCTCTTCGTTATATCTTGTATATCGTTATACGCAAATTAAAACAATAATAATAGGATGCAATCTACAATAGGAATAGATATTGGATAGACTATCCTGAGTCTCCAGCTCAGGATAGAAGCTGGAGAGTCAGATGCCAGAAGGAACTTTTTTCAGTGTTTAAGAAACCAGTAAATGGAATAAACTAGACAAAGAAATCACTGAAGCTATCTATAAAACTATAAATTGAAATACAAAAGGATGTGGAAACTGAGTCATTGCATCAATCCAAGACAACCGGGTCCAAGAGCTGAGCTTTTACCCGCAAGCCTAGCTAGGTTAGTATATCTAGGTCAGTACACATGCAGCTTAGGTAGCCATCAAAGCGCTCGCTTGAGGGCTTGAATGGGAGACAGACTCTCAGACAAGCACGCACGGTATAAACCACCACTCAAGCGCTTGTGGGCGTGGCAGGAAGACAGCGGGTGTTGTACACATATATCTCTCGTAGCTCCAGCGAAAGTGACCACTTTCATCCTCACTCTTGCGTTGTTACATCACGGCCAATTAAGTCGTTAGCGGGAACCACCAGACTGGCTTACGGCGCGCTGCTGGTTCAGCTGATGCTGCTGCATCAACACCTGCTGGTTCAGACGGTCTTGTGATACACGTGTTATTTACGAGACTAGTGGCAGGTGTTTTTCTCTCATGCTTTATAGACAGATGTTGTGTATCTCGGATTACTTGAAGCCTTTGTTGTCATACGGTGAATATGTGAGTCTTTCTGAAGCCTCGTGTGAAGGTGTTTTTAAACGGGCTTTATATATGTTATTTGATGTGGTTTACCTGATGTGTGTGTGTATATATATATATATATATATATATATATATATATATATATATATATATATATATATATATATATATATATATATATATATGTCGTACCTAGTAGCCAGAACTCACTTTTTGGCCTACTATTCAAGGCCCGATTTGCCTAATAAGTCAAGTTTTCCTGAATTAATATATTTATTCTAATTTTTTTTCTCATGAAATGATAAAGCTACCCATTTCATTATGTATGAGGTCAATTTTTTTTTATTGGAGTTAAAATTAACGTAGATATATGACCGAACCTAACCAACCCTACCTAACCTAACCTATCTTTATAGGTTAGGTTTGGTTAGGTAGCCGAAAAAGTTAGGTTAGGTTAGGTAGGTTAAGTTGTCGAAAAACAATTACTTCATGAAAACTTGGCTTATTGGGCCTTGCATAGTAGGCTGAGAAGTGCGTTCTGGCTACTAGGTACGACATATATATATATATATATATATATATATATATATATATATATATATATATATATATATATATATATATATATATATATATATATATATATATATATATATATATATATTGTTTATAGGTGTCATTTTAAGCTTGGGTAGTGGTTTGCTCAATCTTGTTTATATATGTCTCTGTTAATTTGGCTTTGTTTAATTCTTGTTTATATTTCTTGTTTGCAAGTCTTTGACTTATGCTTGTCTTATCTCGTTTCTAAGATGTTTACCGGAAGCTATGTTTGTGTGTTTTTATCTGCGAGTATAAACAAGATGTATTATTTAGTTGTTTTGTTTGTTTTCCTGAAGCCTTGCTTAACTTAACTTTAAACTTGTTTGACAACAAGTTTCTTGTTTACTATGATAAGTGCGACGAGAAAAAATATTTTGATTTCTATTATTTCTGTTTAATATACAAAACAATTAAACAATCCTCCGACGACAGCAACAATAACAACAACAAAAGATTTACAACAAAAAACAATCAATGTTAACAATTTTGAACATCTTTCTCTGCCTTCAAGAGGTCTTTGAACATCTTAGTTTAGAGGCTTATCAAGAACGCAGGGGTAATTAACTCTTATGTCTGTAGGCAATCACCCCTGGGCTATCTTTACACACACACACACACACACACACACACACACACACACACACACACACACACACACACACACACACACACACACACACACACACACACACAAACATACAGACACACACACGACATCCTACTGGGCAGCTAAGTACAGCCACAAGCACTGGGCGAAAGAAACAGTTATATTATAGACCGGGTCACTTGGAAACCCAAACTTATGAGGTGAATAAAACCTTCAGGATAAATCACCTCCGTTCTCAAATGCCTGAACCCAAGCCACCCACCTAACCTAACCATCCTACTCATGGAAAACGTGGATATATGTGATCCGCTACTTTTCACAATACCCCTTATTTTGTGCATTGGGGGACCATAGCGTATGAAATGAGACGCATTAGTTGACAGGGACCGGTTCTGAGGTCGTTCCTCTCCTCACATCATGGGATCTGAGCCGTGTAAAAGAGACATGAAATGCTGAACGTATTTAGATATAGCCTGGTGTTGGATGGTAAAGCAGAGACGGGTGGAAATCTAGAGGAGTGTTTAGAGGCTTGTAGGGGAGGCTAGGAGTGTGTGGGGGCTTGTAGGGGAGGCTAGGAGTGTGTGGGGGCTTGTAGGGGAGGCTAGGAGTGTGTGGGGGCTTGTAGGGGAGGCTAGGAGTGTGTGGGGGCTTGTAGGGAAGGCTAGGAGCGAGGGCTGGGTAGTGGGCCACTCCTTCGTATGAGATCTCCGCCACGAAGCCGGAGTCGCCGTCGACGTGGTAGGACACCTTCTGCAGGCGGCCGTCGGGAAGCGGGACGTAGTAGAAGCCCTCCGTCTTGTAGCCGTCGCTGGCCTCCTGGTGGCCGAAGTTGGCACCTGTGTAGTCGTCTTTCACGTCGTACCGGAAGTCGTAAGCGACGGGACCCTAGAGAAGTCGTAGCAAGTTAGGTTAGGTTAGGGTGGGGGTTAGATCAAGTTAGGTTTGATATAGTTTCTTACGGTCATATCATGTAGGGTATTGATAGGTTTAGGCGAGGTGAGGTTAGGTTAGGTGAGGTGAGGTGAGGTTAGGTTAGGTTATTAAGGTCTAGGTCACCTGAGTTTGGGATCATGATAGCCTAGTGGATATAGTCCAGGGTAAAGATAATATGCATATAAATAAGTTAACCAAGAATAAAAACACTAATTTTAACAATAGCAACAAAAAGTTTCATCAAAATTCTTACATTTTAAAATTTTATCACCTTTTGCTTTAGTTACCTGGACGTTAATAACGAATTAAATCTAAAAAACTATATAAATAAAAAAATTGCTGCAATTGCCTTTACCTTCTATACTCTTAAATATAAATCTTACTTAAAGATCTAAGTATACTTGTAATGAAGGTTGAGAGACGAACAATTGTCGACAGTTTCTGTTGGCGATGATTGTCAGGCAGTATATCTCCAGATGTCGCCTGCACTGACAGCTTCCTGGATCAAACACCTGCTCGAGACACTCACCCATCTTGGGAGACACTCAGCCATCTTGGGAGACACTCACCCATCTTGGGAGACACTCACCCACCTTGGGAGACACTCAGCCATCTTGGGATACACTCACCCATCTTGGGAGACACTCACCCATCTTGGGAGACACCCATCTTGGGAGACACTCACCCATCTTGGGAGACACTCACCCATCTTGGGAGACACTCAGCCATCTTGGGAGACACTCACCCATCTTGGGATACACTCACCCATCTTGGGAGACACTCAGCCATCTTGGGAGACACTCAGCCATCTACGGAGACACTCATCCACCTTGTAAACACTCGAGTTTAATGCTAAACGGAACAATAACTCCATCTCCTCCCATGTATCCTCTTGTTGTTGTCAAACTACTACTGCTGGTAGTACTACTACTACTACGACCACTACTGCTGGTAGTACTACTACTACTACGACCACTACTGCTGGTAGTACTACCAATTCCTGCTTGTGTCTCTGGGTTGATATGTTCGTCACTTTCTGTCTTTATTCTTCAACTCGTCACATTCTGTTATTGTTCTATCATGCAATACCATTATCTCCATCACTGTACCTTCACTGTACCCAGTAGTGCAGCCATAACTGTAACTATCACTGTACCCACTACTGTACTTAAATATTAGTTACAGATCACACTCACAATGTTGATGTGTAAATAATGATAAAACAATACAGTCGGAGAGAAAGATACAGAGAGAGACAGAGAGATTAATATCTTACCTCGTCATAATCGTAACCCAAGTTGTGGATTGGGGCTTTCGGTCGGTGGATTGGACTAGGGATTGGATGAATAGGCCCTGGTGAATGATAAATAGGCTTGGGAGAAAGTTGGATAGGGCCAAGAGAGGGATGGATTGGGCCGAAAGAAGGGTGGACAGGGCCGAAAGAAGGGTGGACAGGGCCGAAAGAAGGGTGGACAGGCCCTGGAGAAAGATGGTAAGGGATAGGCGTAGAGTGGATAAGGTTAGGGCGGAATAATTGACGGCCCATTGGCCTGGGTTTGCGATGGATAGGACGTGGTTTAAGAAGGGTCGATTCTGGCGAGGGATGGCTTGGATATGAGGTAGAAGGGATTGGACCAAGAGAAGGATGGAAAGGTCCTGAAGTAGGGTGAACAGGCCCTGGAGGAGGACGAATAGGTTTAGGAAGAGGGAGGATAGGTTCAGGGGTTGGGTGGAGAGGTTCTTTAGATTGCGGGATAGGTCCTTGGGTTGGATGGACAGGTCCTTTAGTAAGATGGATAGGCCGATTATGACCGTGAATAGGCCCAAGGGTGGGGCGAATCGGGCCATGAGTGGGACGAGTAGGTAGTCGAGAGTCAGGTCGAATGTGTCCTGAGGCTAGATGGACAGGTCGACTGTAAAACGGGTCGAAATCCAAGTCAATAGAATCAAAGGACAAAGGTTCCGGACCCATATATACAGAAGACGTAGCCATGGGTTTAAACCCACGAGCTGGAATAGGTGTTGAAGGGCCATGGGCAGCAGGAATAGGATCCAAGTTGTAATAGATAGAATTGAAATTAGATTGAGTAGGACCTAGATCATTGCGAAATAGGTCTGCATCAGGTGGGATATGACTAGGGGTGAGCCGAATGCCTCTTCTATGGATGGTGGATTGAGACTTCCCCCGGGCGAAGCTGTTGTCAGGATAGCCGACGGCGCAGGCCACAAGCACCGCCTGGAACACCGCCACCTGTAGATATATATAAGAAAAACCAATTAACAAATATCAGCACCTGGGAGACATGATCAACCGAACCTGTGAATAAGTTTAATTCACGATTACGTGAATAAATATAAAAATATTACAAATATATGAAGAATAGCTGTGTACTGTATCCCCTTCAAGGGTTCCGTGACCATATAAGAATACAGCAATACAGCTATCGCAGCAGATGTATCATGGGCTTGCAGGAATGCAGTAATACATCTGTATACCGTAGCGTGTCAAGAGTAAGTGCGTTTAACACCTAAATTCTCTGAAATCTATGTGAAAACTAGAACATACAGTAGGTAGTGTGTATGTATCTTGCCACCGTAAGTCCAAATAACACCTTAACTCTCTTATATGTAAGTGTGGGACGACCTGTCGTTTAAACTGCATTGATGCTTGAAGCGGTACGCTGGTAGTACCTTGGGCAGCATGTTGTTGAAGCCCACACGGACGGGCGCTGCTGTTGAAGCCCACACGGACGGGCGCTGCTGTTGTAGCCCACACGGACGGGCGCTGCTGTTGTAGCCCACACGGACGGGCGCTGCTGTTGTAGCCCACACGGACGGGCGCTGCTGTTGTAGCCCACACGGACGGGCGCTGCCGAGGGAGCCCACACGGACGGGTGAGCCAAGAGGACAGGTGAGCTCCTCACACGGACAGAGGAGCTAAGAGGACAGAAACCTCAGGACTGAGAGCTCAGAGGACAGTTACTTGTGCTGTTACTAAGACGTCGGGAGCTAAAGAATGACTTCATTAACACACTTGGCTCCTGTTTATATACTAAAGCACCGCTCAACCCTCTCCAAACGCTCTCCTTTCCCCCAAACACCTCCTCCCTAAGCTCTCCCCTTCCCTTGAGCACCTCCCACTACCCGCACCATCATCCTGACCCTCAAGCGCTTGCGTGAAAGGAAACTGAGTGGCGGAACTTGTCATAGCAGATGTCTGAGTGGTGGGGCTTTTTATTCGGTCAAGTGCGCTTACATGTCTCTGTTTACTTATCAGTGTCTACTGGTGAGATCTAGCTCTTGGGCTAGGTTGAGTATTTGTATTTGAGTATCTGGAGCGTTTGAATTCCGGTTATGATCGAATTTTTGCGTCGTATATGATTTTTTTGGCGGTTTCCCGGTTATCAGTGATTTGTTAATCACCATTGAGAGTGGTAGAAACAGTACTTCTGCTCCTTCTTTTAGTATCCATGGTGAGATTTCGTCTGGGCTTATAGCCTTTGTCACATCCAACTCAAGCAAATGCTTCCTTACCTCTCCATTTGTAATCTTAAAGTCCTCCAGTGGTGCCTTGTTAGATATTTGCTATCTTATCCCTGGAAGTTCTTCTTGCTCTAATGTAAAGACCTGTTATTTCTTATTGAGTTCTTCGCACACTTCTTTGTCATTTGTAGTGAACCTGTCTGCCCCTATACTCAGTTTCATTACCATTTCCTTCACTCTTGTTTTTCTTCTGATGTGACTGTGAAGCAATTTAGGTTGAGTCTTTGCCTTGTTTGCTATGTCATTTTTGCATTGTCTTTCTACCTCTCTTCTCACCCAGAGGTATTCATTCCTGGCGCTCTGGTATCTTTCTCTGCTCTCTAGTGTCCTGTTATTTCTATAGTTTCCCCACACCCTTGTACTTAGTTGCTTTGCTAGCTTACATCTCTGATTAAACCATGGGTTCCTCATCTGCATTTCGTTTTTTTTTCATTTTGGACTGAGACAAACTTGTCTGCTGTCTCCTTACAGTTTGAGGAGTAAACACTCTGTGTGTTTGTGTATGTTTACATGTGTGTATTTTAATATGTGTATGTTTACGTGTGTATATTTATGTGTGTGCTTGTTTAAGTTTTTGTACATATATGTTCATGTGTGTATATGTTAATGTGTGTGTGTGTATGTTTGTGTATGCGTGTGGATATGCATTTATGTGTGTATGTTTGTGGTTTTTTTTGGTCAAAAGAATATTAACAAAAAAGTTTATGTTAAAAATACACTTCTTCCCCTCACGAAGACTTTCCCAACCAGCTGTTGTCGTTAGGGGGAGAGAGAGGGGGGTGTTGATGGTCAGGGGGTAGGGGGGTTGGTCGGGGGGGGGGGGGAAGATGAGTGACAACACTTTATGTAGCCACATAAAGTGTCATAAATGGCGGACCCAAGAGCTCAAGCGTCTTGAAAACAGCTACGTAAGTTCTGTAAGGTAAGAATACCTCTTAAACACACACACACACACTGTACACCAGGAATCTGTACACCTGTTGATTGACGGTTGAGAGGCGGGACCAAAGAGCCAGAGTTCAACCCCCGCAAACACAACTAGGTGAGTACACCCACACACACACACACACACACACCCACACACACACCCACACACACCCACACACACACACACACACACACCCACACCCACACACACACCCACACACACCCACACACACACACACACCCACACACACACACACACACACACACACACACACACACACACACACACACACACACACACACACACACCACACACACACACACACACACACACACCCACACACACACACCACACACACACACACACACACACACACACCACACACACACACACACACACACACACACACACACACACACACACACACACACACACACACACACACACACACACACACACACACACACACACACACACACACACACACACACACACACACACACACACACACACACACACACACACACACACACACACACACACACACACACACACACACACACACACACACACACACACACACACACACACACACACACACACTTCCCACCAGGAAACAGCACGAAACTCATTAACATGCTTACTGAAAATTATTCTTATCTTGCGAACCACAAACCGCGCTCTTCCCAGCTAACTCTCTTCCTGCCCACTTGGGCTGGACGGTAGAGCGACGGTCTAGCTTCATGCAGGACGACGTTCAATCTCCGACTGTCCACAAGTGGTTGGGCACCATTCCTTTCCCCCGTCCCATCTTAAATCCTTAACCTGACCCCTTCCCAGGGCTATATAGTCGTAATGGCTTGGCGTTTTATCCCTGCTAGTTCTCTTCCCTTCCTCTTCCTTCCTGCTCCCCAAATTCTTCCCTCCTTATTCTTATGGTTGCTCGATTATCATGCCTCTATCCTGCCTCATATTCCCACTCTCTCTTGTCTCTTTCTCTCTTACGACTGAATATGACATTTCACTCTAAACATCTGTCACCTTCGGGTATTTCTGTCGCGTCTCGGTTGGCTTCATCTTCACTATCATCATCTTTGGGGCGTGGTAAGGGTCCAGGGACCAGATGTATGCAAGCACTTACGAACCTGGAGCCAGGTTTACGAAGCAGTTACGCAAGCAGTTACGAACCTGTGCATCTTTTCTCAATCTTTGGCTGCTGTGCTTACAATTATTAAACAGTTAATGAGCTCCGAAGTACCAGGAGGCTGTTTGTAACAATAACAACAGTTGATTGGCAAGTTTTCATGCTTGTAAACTGTTTAATTAATGTAACCAAAGCCGTCAAAGATTGAGGAAAGATGTACAGGTTCGTAAGAACTTGCGCAACTTTTTTGTGAATCTGGTCCCAGATTCGTAGATGCTTGCGTAACTGCTTTGTAAACCTGGCTCCAGGTTCGTAAGTACTTGCGTAACTACTTCGTGAATCTGGCCTAGCTGAAGCGTAAGATCCAACACTACTGCCTCGACCTACAGAACAGTTAAATTATAACGCTCCAGGTACAAGAAGGGTGGTTGACAGGGCATGAGGAGCAAGACCTCCTTTCCAGTAGTCACTAATACGAAAGTACCGGGGATACTGATACCAGTATCACCGGTACCTACCGGTTACCATGCGATGATTTCAGGGCTGAATGTCCCCCGCGGCCCGGTCCTCGACCAGGTCTCTTGGTTGCCGGACTGGTCAACCAGGCTGCTAGGAGCGGCTGCTCGCAGCCTGACGTACGAATCACAGCCTGGTTGATCCGGTAACTGAACCGGTAAGTCAGATACCGGTAATACTGATTGGTAAATCAGAACTCCCCTACCACCACCATCGCTACCTCTACCACCATCGCTACCTCTACCACCATCACCACAACCCCAATTTCCCCTACGGGTTCATAAACAGTTTCTTAAGCCTTACCTTTCCCACGCTAAAAAGTGTGAGATATGCTGTTCTTAATTGCACTTCCGGCTCACGCTTCTCACCCATATAGTGTGGCAATGTTGCAAAGTGATGTAACATTGAGATAGTTGCAATAGTTACAATCTCAAGCAATATTCAGATTTTTTTGACTGTTTTATACTGGAAATCTTAGCACAGAGTGTCCTGTATATTGATTTAAGTGTCGTTGTGTACTCTATACTGATTTATGTGTCATTGTGTTCTTAGTACTGACTTGTGAGTGTGTTCTTGTGTACTCTATACTGACTTGTGTGTCCTTGTGTACTCTATACTGACTTATGTGTGTTCTTGTGTACTCTATACTGACTTGTGAGGTCTTGTGTACTCTATACTGACTTATGTGTGTTCTTGTGTACTCTATACTGACTTATGTGTGTTCTTGTGTACTCTATACTGACTTGTGTGTCATTGTGTACTCTATACTGACTTGTGAGTGTGTCATTGTGTACTCTATACTGACTTGTGAGTCTTTGTGTACTCTATACTGACTTGTGAGTCCTCGTGTACTCTATACTGACTTGTGAGTGTGTCATTGTGTACTCTATACTGACTTGTGAGTCTTTGTGTACTCTATACTGACTTGTGAGTCCTTGTGTACTCTATACTGACTTGTGAGTCCTCGTGTACTCTATACTGACTTGTGAGTGTGTCATTGTGTACTCTATACTGACTTGTGAGTCCTTGTGCACTCTATACTGACTTGTGAGTGTGTTATTGTGTACTCTATACTGACTTGTGAGTCTTTGTGTACTCTATACTGACTTGTGTGTCCTTGTGTACTCTATACTGACTTGTGAGTGTGTCATTGTGTACTCTATACTGACTTGTGTGTCCTTGTGTACTCTATACTGACTTGTGAGTCCTTGTGTACTCTATACTGACTTGTGAGTCCATGTGTTCCTCCCACATTCTTTTCCTCATTACTGCCTCATTCTGTCGTTCCTCTGGAACCGAACAATCAACAAGGTGTAAACACCGACTTGTAAACAACAAGGTGTAAATAACGAGTCGTAAACAAAGTGTAAACAACGAGTCTCTCTCTCAGTTATCCCACAACAATCCCTCCTTCTCCTCGCCATACACGAGGCAACAATTGCCACACGACCAGAGAACAATCAGGCCGGCTGTTGTCTTCAACCAGAAGAAATCTGTCACCGCACTTTCCCGAAGTAGCTTATATAATTGTGACCAGGATTTAGGATTCATGAAACACTTAAGTGGCTGCAGTGGTAACGTGTGCATCTTTCCTCGATCATGGTGGCTTGGTTTGCATTCTATATATATATATATATATATATATATATATATATATATATATATATATATATATATATATATATATATATATATATATATATATATATATAAAAGTAATGGGCGTCAGATGATATTTAGAGATTATGAAGGTGCCTTAAATAACATTCTTACAAATATTAACTTGTTTCTGTTGTATTACTGAACAGAATATAAATACCTTTCTAATCTGTTTGCTTTATTTGTCATTTATTCAATAAATACAATATATGTGTAATAAATAAATTCATATATATATACGCAGATGAGCTTTTTATAAAGAATTGTCATCAAAAAAGTAGATCTGGCCAATTCAGATGACACGAATATCTCTACAATTGTTTTCCCTGTGTGAGTGGATATCTTTGCTCTCGTAGTGGGTATAGAGCAGTGCTTCTGCTGCGGAATGGGTGTTTGACGCAAACATTTGCTAACAGTCTGCATGTTCCACAATATAACAATAGGCCTGCGAGTCTTATATGTGACTCTCCTTCCCCCTTTAAATAAAAAAATAATACAATTTTCAATTATGTGCATTTGGGAGAACCATGCAAGCAGTGGTTGCAGAGCGAGAGATGTAACTATGCTATGAGAGGCTAATGATTAACGATGAAAGATGTGTTTATGTAAACTAAAGAGGCTAATTAATTATCCTCCTGAACTGCATGATTAATTTTGGAAGTTAATGTGATTGGTGGGACAGGTTGTTTTCCAGATGTGTAAAAAGTACTCATGTAAGACAGATGGAAACTTTGACAGAATGAAAAGGACTGCCAAACATTACTGAATCTTCACAACCTAAGGAAAATTCCCAGCTCCTTAGAAGGTAACCATCAAATTTATACAATAGTGTAAGATATAAATAACTTTAATGTTTAATATTTTGTGGGTGATTAAGGTTCAGGACAAAAGTTATCCAAGTTAAGCTGAAAAGCAACAGGAATTTTCTTTAATGCAGTAAAGAAATGATTTGATTCATTTGAATTGAACTTGACCAAGTTGTAATCAGTGGATACCCATAAGACGTTTAGGAACTGGCCTCAGTATGTGCAAGGATCAGTAAGACCTACAGAAGGTTCAATAAAAGCTGAAGGTTCACTGAAAGCTGCAGAAGGTTTAGTGTGAACAACAGAGGGTTCAGTATAAACAGAAGATTCAGTGTGAACTACAGTAGGTTCAGTGACAACTATATAAGGTTAAATAAGAATTACATAGGAAGGGAGAGAGCTACAATGAGTTCAGTAAGAATTACAACAGGTTCATTACGACCTCTTAAAGGTACAGTTCAAGCTTAAAAAGGTTCAACAAGAGCTACAGCAACTTAAATAAATGCTACCTAAAGTTAAATAAGAGCCACAGCAGGTTCAATAACAGCTACAGACGATTGACGACAGAAGAAGAGAAAAGGAAGGCTTTTGTGCAAGTCTGGAGACCTCTGGGTGATATTGCAAGACCTTTATAAACAATTAGAAAATAGGATAAATTTGAATCTTGTGTAACATCACACTTGATAAAGATTGTAAGAAATTGTGCTATTTACATTAGAGGAGGTAAATCTACTAGAGAGAGTGTGAGGTTAATTTAAGCATAAGCTGGGGCAGGCTGGTAGGCTGGGGCTGGCTTGTAGGCTGGAGCGGGCTTGTAACTGGGCTGGTAGGCTGGGTACTGGGCCTCTCCCTGGTATTCAACTTGGGCCACGTAGCCGGAGTCGCCGTTGACGACGTAAGTCACCTTCTGCAGGCGACCGTCGGGAAGCTGGACGTAATAAGAGCCCTTGGTGTCGTAATCGTTGCGAGACTCCTGGTGACCGAAGTCGTTGCCGGAGCCATCACTCACAGCGTACTGGGAGTCGTAACGGGGAGGAGTCTGTAGACGAATGATTAACAATGATACACTGACATTACCACACATGATAACATGCTGGATATATGTTGATAAGTTACGTTACTCTCAGTTCATTGTGAACGAAACTTGAAACATTTAAATTACTACAATTAGTAAAGTTATGACTATGAAGTGCGCCTTTCTGCAAGATTATTTTAATATTAGTGCATTATTTCATATATGTTCACCAGGCTATTATTTAAACTTGAAAGAAAATTAACATGTATGAAACTGAGACTGCTAAAGCTTTACTCACGTCTGGATAAGCTGGAGCACCGTAGGATGGTCTGGGGTATGCTGGAGGTGGCCCGTATGCTGGGGGAGGTTCAGGGCGGGCGAGGGTGGCAGCCACAATGGCAGCCAACACAAGAACCTACAGGGCCAGGCATCAACACTTATTAAGAACCTACAGGGCCAGGCATCAACACTTATTAAGAACCTACAGGGCCAGGCATCAACAAACCCCCCCTTTTTTTTTAAATTTTTGGGTTTAATTTTTTGGTTTAATTTTTTTTTTTTCCCCTTTTTTTGGGGGGGTTTGGGGGGAAATTTTTTTAAAAAATGTTTTTAAATTTAAATTTGTTTTTAAAAATTTGGGAAAAAAAAAAAAAAGGGGAAAAATTTTTTTTTTTTAAAATTTTTTAAAAAATTTTTTAAAATTTTAATTATTGTTTTTTTAAAAATTTAAATTTTTTTTTTTTTTAAAAAAAAAATTTTTTAAAAAGGGTTTTTTTCCCCGGGAAAACGGAGCCCTTTTGGAGGTTGGGGGGGAAATTTGGCCCTTTCTTTGGGGGGGGGGGGGAAAGGAAAAAAAAAAAAAAAAAAAAAAAAGAAAAAAAAAATTTTTTTTCCAAAAAACCCCTTTTTAAAAATTTTTTCCCTTGGGCCCCAAAAAAAAAACAAAGATTTTAAATTTTGTTTTTTTTTTAAAAAAAAAAATTTTGGGGGGGGAAAAAAAAATTTTGGGGGTTTTTTTTGGGGGGTTTTTTCCCCTTTTCCCGGCCCCAAAAAAAAAAAAAGGGGTTTAAAAAATTTTTGGGTTTCCGGTAAAGGAAATTTTGGAAAACCCAAAAAAAAAATTTTTTTTTTTGGGGGAAAAAATTTACCAAAAAATTCCCGGGGGGTTTTAAACCTTTCCCCCCAAAATTTAAAAAAAAACCCGGGGAAAAAAAACCCAAATTTTTAAAATTTAAATTAAAATTTTATAAAAAAGAAAAAAAAAATTTTTAAAAATTTTTTAAAAAGGGGGGTTTTTAAAGGGGGTAATTTTTTTTTTTTTTTTAAAAAAATTTTGGGGGCCCCCCCGGGGGTAAAAACCCCCCAAAAAAAAAAACCCCTAATTAAAAGGAAAAAAACCCCTTTTTTTAAAATTTTGGGGGGGGTTTTTTTTTTTTTAAAAAAAATTTTTTGGGGGGGGGTTTGGGGGTTTTAAAAATTTCAATTTTAAAAATGGAAAATTGGAAAAAAAAAAAAGTTTTTTTAAAAAATTTTTTAAAGGGAAAAAAAAATTTTTTTTTTTTTCCCTTTTGGGTTTTTTTTATTTTTTTTAAAAAAGGGATTTTTAAAAACCCCCAAAAAATTTAAATTTCCCCGGAAAAACCCCCCCCCAAAATAATTTTTTAAATTTTTTTTATTAATTAAAAGGGGAGGGGGGAAAATGGGCCCCCAAAAAACCCCCCCCCCCTTTTTTAAAAACCCCAAAAAAAAATTCCTTCCCAAAAAAAATTTTTTTTTAAAAAAAAAAAAATTTTTTTTTTTTTTTTAAAATTTTAAAAATTTTAAAAAGCCAAAATTTTAAAAAAAAAAAAAATTTTTTTTTGGGTTTTTTCCCCCAAAAGGGGGGATTTTCCCCAAAAGGGGAAAAAACCCCCGGGGCCCCGGGG